TCAATGAGAGATTAGAATTTTCCCAGATCACATATGCAAATCTACATTAATGTGCCACAAACAGATCAGGTCGTGGTAACCTGCTGGGGATATAGTAGTTTTACTGTGGAAAACAGTTATTAGTATACTGTTATGAAGAACTGTTGTGAATGAAATAGTTTCACTGATAAAAAAAATATATAGTGTAACTTTTAAATGTGAAATTTGTTGCTGATAAATAACACTACCATTTACTTTTGCATTTGTTGGTAACGCCTAGACTGGACTGGATCAATTGAGACTGAAAAGAAATGTGTGTGTGTGTGTGTGTGTGTGTGTGTGTGTGTGTATATATATGTGTGTGTGTGTGTAAAGGGGGTTGTAAGTTGAACTTTTTATTAATTTCATAATAGCATTTTCTCTGTTGGAGGCTTGACAATCATTTCTAAATATCTCCGGTTTTTGTGACGGTTTGTTCACATGTAAAGTTACATTTTGGTCTTTATCTCCTCCTGTTCTTTTTGTTTCTTCAAAATGGATGAAAAGATGATCAAATACAATCCAGATTTCTTTTTAAACAATTGCCCTCAAATTTTGCACTCAAAATGAATCCCATGAATGTACCAATGTATCAGTCATCCCCTAACAGAATGGCACCCTGGGTGGTGAGCCACATGTAAAAAAAAAAAAAAAAAATCAACTGCTGCACATGTTGAATATCACATATAATAATATGATTGTCTTGGTCCTTTTCTTTAGATTTCCATGACATTTTAATATTTTTCAATGAAATATCCAGTCATTAATAAATAATGAGTTGAGATTAAGTTTATTGGAGTTTTTATAATTTGATCAGGGGTCATAATATGTAATACTTCAGAATCAGCTGGCCTATTTGAGGAGCAGCTCCAAGGTAAAGATTTGAAAAAAAAAAAGACATATGACAATTTATATCATATATATATATAATTCAAGAAAATGCTAAGCTACAAAGCAAACCAAACCCATATTCTGTTCACCCTCAGCTTTCATTGATTATACATAAATAAACCATTTCACATCCATGTACTGAGATCATTGTCAGTTTTGCATGTAATTTAGCATTTCCATGGAATATCCAGATAAACTGTCATAAAATGCTTATCAAAATGTTTTCCAGTATTTGTTGAGTTGTGGTGTTTGAGGGTAGTTGAAACCAACACACATCAAGTATTGCCCCTCCACCCTCTATCCATATGCAGCCTTGGCCCATCTCTGGCTGCCATGCACATGTGCCGGAACAGGTGCAGCCTTCGAAGTGGCCTCATCGATGCATCCTTCCTTCCTTCCTCCCTCGAGGAAGCAATATTTTGTACGGGTCCTAGAGTTGATTGCTTTGCTGTCTTTAAGCAGCCCACCTCTCACTCTTGTAAACATTAGCGTGTTCTCCTCTCCATCCTTCACTCTTGTTTGCACAGACAGAGGAGAGTGTGGCTCGTTCCCTCTCCCCCCTTCGTCTTTTGTTTGTTGCGCTGAACCCCGGAGCAGCTGCCGGCTGTGGCGGCGGCGGCGGTGGTGGTGGGGTCTGGAGGGACTCTGGAGCTGCGTGTCCTCTCTTTGCCATCCTCTGCCAAGGTGGCATTATGCAAGCAGAGAGAGAGGCAGAGAGAGGGAGCGAGAGAGGGGATAGCAGCGGCCATAGTAAAGATGGAGGAGGGTGCGCGCGAGGACTTTTAGGCTTCTTCTCCTGAACTTTCCCGCCGTGACAGGGTTGGAAGTTGTCGTTTTGGCTCGCGCACACCCCCACCTGCTCCCCTCTACCAAACTAACCTAACCTGCCCCCCCTCCCCCTCCCTCTCGCTACCATTTCTCTCTCTGCCCCCTCTCTCTCTTTCTCTCTCCTTCCTCTCTCTCTCCTACCCTCCCTCTCGGCTCTGGAAGCGAACGCATTGGCTGGGCTGCGGGCATCTCGTTGCCAAATAGGTGGGCCTTCTCATCGCGCTGGCAGAGGCTCAAGCGATGGTTAGGGAGAGAACGCGGAGAGGACGAGAGACGGCCAGCGAGACCCAGAAAGAGAGAAAGAGGGAGAGGGAGAGAAAAGGAGAAAAAAGGAGAGGCAGCACTCGGCTTTGCCAGCGGTCCTGTGCGCTCGTCCAACATTGATTCGGCTCTCGGTTTTTTTTCCTCTTCGATTCTGCGCGCGTGTGTAGGAGAGAGAGAGAGAGAGAGAGAGAGAGAGAGTGTGTTTTTGTGAGTGAGTGTGTGTGCGTGCGTGTCTGCGTGTGTGTGTGTGAGGCGGGCCAAGGGATCAGAACAGACACCGCTACCAATTAGGGTGCACTTTGCCAAGGATTTTTTTCCCCTCAAGGTTTTTATTTTTTGTGCTTTTTTTTTTTTAAATGATTTTTCTAACTGTTCAAAACTGTTATTTTTATTAAAGATTCTCTTTATATTTCTGAATATTTCTTTGAATGTGCTGCTGATTATTTAATTTTCCCCATTTTTTTATTATTATTCTCAACTTTTTAAAGCAGCTAATTTTTTTTTTTTTCAGTTGACAATCCGCTTCCAAGTGTTTTTTTTCCCCTCCATCTCCTAATTCTCCTCTCCTTGCCAAACCAGCTCTGGCTTTACATTGGGGAGCGCAAAAGAAAAAAATAGCTGGTGCAGGAAGGTTTTTTCTTTCTTTCTTTTTTTCACTTTAAACGCCGTGCCAAATTTATGATGAGAGTGCAAAATGGTAACTACCAGGCCGTCTGTCTTCCTCTTGCAGTGTGGTTATCTGTGGTGATTTGTGTCTGCTTTCAGTTTGTTGTGGAAATGTGACTCTGGTTGGAGCTCCCCTTGGTTTGTTTTTTTGTTTTGTTTTTTTTAGTTTTTTTTATTCCTCCCCTGCATGGTGTGTGTATAGTGCTGATAGGAAATGCTATGGCTGAGCTTTTAGCGGCGCATTTCAGCGGCGGGCTTGTGGCGGCAAAGCTTGGCGGCGGTGAGCGGCCGGTGTGTGGCAACCCTGGCACGGGAGCGCTGTGGCGAGATCTGGGCTTTGTTGCCCAGAGATATGTAGTGAAGGTATTAGAATACCTTGTGCCACCTTTTTTTCTTTCCTCCCCTTCCCCCTGTCCAAACAGCAGAGAACCGGGAGTGTATGTTGGCTCAGCTTTTCTTCTGCTTTTGGATTTATGCGTTTTGATTTTTCTTTTCTTTTCTTTTTTTTCTTGTTGAATGTTTATTGTTTTTGCTGAAACGAGCAGGATGATTTGTTGCGTTATTGTATCTTATTAAGATTCATATATCTGTGTGTTTGCATGTGTGCGTGATTTTATATGACGGGAAAATTAAAAACAAACGTTTTAACGTTTCAGATGTAATACTTTGCTGGTTATTTAAATTTCGAGAACGTACATAGACTGTCATAATAAAAACGTGAAGCAATTTAATATATTTTATTTTGGAGAGATTGTAATTAATTTTCAACTAAATAAATGTGTTAAATTGTAACCAAAATCTAAAATGACTAAATTACTTAAATTGTGCCTATGGTGTTTCTTCTCATGTTTAGAAGAAACAAAAAAAATAAATATTTTTTTGCGAGTAAAGCATGAAATTATTACTGAAACAGTAAAAAGTAATTCTTCATTCATTCTAACAAGGATGCATCTTTTCCCTGACAGCCAAAGCCATCATGTGCTGTTTTTTTGGCAGCAACTGCCTAAAGATTAGGAAGCTTGTATTAAACTAAAAGGAATTTAGCAGAGTATTCAATATTAGCCATTAAAATTGTTTTCATTTTAATCAAGCACATTGGTTTGCTAATAGTGAATTTTTGAGATCATTCGCTGCTTCATTTTGGTAACAAATTTTGCCTGAACCATTTATTGGGAATTTAACCGATGATGTTTTCAGTCATCTTTTAGCTATTGTCGTTCTTGTATTGTGGTGTCAACTGGTTGAACACCAGGAGAAAAGCTGATATGTTCGTAGCCTGTGGGATGCACTGTGAGCTACATCAGCTCAGTAAAAGATAAGGACTGCCAGAGGACTTGTGGTTGAAAAGGTTTCTGATTTATAGAGAGAATTTAAGTTTTAGCTCGTTTAGCTGCAGCGCTGAACAACTTGCTAGCAAACTGATTGTCCCCTCAGGTTTAAAAAATTAAAAAGAGAAGAATTGAACTGTGGTAAGGTACAAATACTCGTATAGAAACAAACAGGGAAAGTTTTCTCTCATGACCATGGCTAATGTGTTATTCGTTAGCTACTTCTCTGCCAAAGTGTTAGCTAGCAAGCTTGACTTTAGCATTAGTGCTGTTGCTACAGCAGTTAAATTTGGATATGAATTGTAATTATTGCTTCAACAATAGAAACTTTCCTTAACAAAAGTATTGTAACAAACAAGGAGACTTTTCTCTTGGAATCATGGCTAATGTGTCTTTTGCTAGCTACCTCTGTCTTAGTGTTAGCTACCAAGCTTGACTTTATAACTAGTGTTGTTGCTAAACTGGTTAAATCTGGATTCAAATTTTACTTATTGCTCCAACAATAGAAAGATTCAGCCCAAAAAAGCTTTGTAACAAACAACGAGGCCTTACTCTCATAACCATCATTAACATGTCATTCGTTAACTATTTCTGCCTTAGTGTTAGCTAGCAAGCTTGACTTCAGCGCTATTGCTAAAGTTTGGTACCAGTTTTGATTAATGCTATAAACTATAGAAACTTTCCCAAAGAAAGATCTTGTAGTTATTAAATCTTACTGAGTGTTTACACTTTATTAGCCTAAATATTCTCACACAGGGAACGACACAAATCTAATGCTTGAATTAGCAAACGTTTCCAGTTAAATTCAATGGGTTTTGTTACCAAAACTGAATAGAAATGAACAGTTACTGAAAATTGGAATGATGTCAATGTGTAAAACGTTTTAGGCTGCTATCTGAAATATATTTTCTGTGAATAATTTCAGACTAAAAAATGTTTAGTTCCACTTTTTAAATCAAATCTCCGTTCTATAGCCCCTTAACATTTTTCCCCTTCTGTCCTCAGGATGAATTTCACCCCTTCATCGAGGCCCTCCTCCCCCATGTCCGTGCCTTCTCCTACACCTGGTTTAACCTGCAGGCTCGCAAGCGCAAGTACTTCAAGAAGCACGAGAAGAGGATGAGCAAGGACGAGGAGCGCGCCGTGAAGGACGAGCTGCTGGGCGAGAAGCCGGAGATCAAGCAGAAGTGGGCCTCGCGCCTGCTGGCCAAGCTCCGCAAGGACATCCGGCCGGAGTTCCGCGAGGACTTCGTGCTCACCATCACGGGCAAGAAGCCCCCCTGCTGTGTGCTGTCCAACCCTGACCAGAAGGGGAAGATCCGCCGCATCGACTGCCTCCGCCAGGCCGACAAGGTGTGGCGGCTGGACCTGGTGATGGTCATCCTGTTCAAGGGCAGCCCCCTGGAGAGCACGGACGGAGAGCGGCTGGTCAAGTCGCCCCAGTGCTCCAACCACGGCCTGTGCGTCCAGCCGCACCACATCGGGGTGACGGTAAAGGAGCTGGATCTCTACCTGGCCTACTTCGTCCACACACCAGGTATGTGTTACCGATATGTTACCGGGGGCCGGGGTTTTTTATTTTTGTCGAGAGCACCCTTACCAGACACAGAGGTCAGGTTCGGATTTAGCCTCCCACTCTGGAATCTGTGCCAAATGGCCTCGATGCCAAGACAAATGCCACATTTAAATATTTAAAGGGACAGTATGCGGAATACAGTTCCCCACACCGAAAGAGCAAAAAAAGACAAACGTCTTCTTTGCTGATAGTTGTTTCTTTTTGCTTTAAAGCGTTTCCCACAGTTTTGAAAGTCCGGGCTTAGAATCTGTGTTTGCTAAGAGATATGTTTGCGTTGGTACATTTGTAGAAGCATTTGTGTGCAAATTTAACTAAATCCAAACGTGCATGTTTTGCGGCGCTGTCGGTAAACAAAAGCATCTGCAAGCGGGTTTATCCCCGGCGAGTGCGCACACGGTTCCGCGTGCGTGCACGTGAGAGGCAGTTTGTCATGTGTCTGTAATCCCTTCGAATGGGAGAATGGTGTTTGGTTGTGCACGCATTTGTGTGTGTGTGTGCGTGTGTGTATGTGGTGGTCTGGAGAGTGCAGTGACAGCTGGCCCAGTCCCAGGTAGTTTAGGAGGCAGCCAGTCTGCAGCGCCCCGACCCCATCCCCGATCGTCTCAGCCTATCGGCACTCTCTGCATAAACACACACATTTGCACACCCTTGCACTTCGCACGCAAACACCCGGATGCTCCGCTCGCTACTCTCTGGATCGTACAGATCAAAAACTTCTCATTGTTTACACATTTTATTTTTCCAGATTCATTCAGGAATATACAAACCAACATGAAATAATTTAAATGAAAACTGCATCACAGTACATATTTTTCATTTTAATGTCTATTTTTTTGTTTAGATTTTTTTGTACACACTTCAAAACTAAACTAAAATTGTAAAGCCAAACCATAAAGACATGAAATAATATAAGAAACAATTGAATTGGCAACTGTAAAAACATAAATAAAATGCAGGAGGTAACAGGATTAATTAATTATTAAAATAATTATTGTATCTCCACTGAGCTGCTTTGTTTTTGCAAATAAAGCCAGTCTGTACCAGGGGTGGGAATTTATTGTAACGTTTAACATTTATCAGGACAAATTTCTTACTGTGATAGGAATTTTGATTCTCTGTTGTTTTGATAAATTTCAACTGATGTAAAAAAAAAAACCAAACTGACAGTGTTATCGGAAATATATATTTTTTTCTCAACTGTTCCACGAGAGCATCAATACATATCAGTAAATTTGAAAATATGATTAAGTGCAGTCACAGTGTGCACATTAGTGATATAAATCACTCCTGATTCTTTAATGAAGAAACCTGAAAAGAAATTTGAATCTTTTTCAAGAGCAGAATCTGTGTTTGTGGACCCACAGACAGCCATACAGTTGCCTTAAACAACATTAAAAAGTCATCTTTTTATTTATCTTATTGTTATCACAAAATGTTGTGATAAAATTCTAAGTCCATATCGCCCACCACTAGTCTGAACCGGCTTTCTCTGAATTTAGAAGAAAACGTATCCAGTTGTCAGTACGTTGGCTGGCATATATACAGGAGCAGCTCCTCCGCTGTAGTCATCGCTCCACTCTATCGTCGCTCCAGCTGTCGAGCAGAAGGTCAGGTGTGAATCCTCAACGTCGCGGTGCTGCTTTTATAGACGCCGGGAGGTATTCATTACTTTCTCCCCGTTGGCGGGGAGGTGGGGAGCTCCCCCCGAGCCCCACGGCCTCCCTCCAACCCCAGGCTCCTTTCAGCCCAGCGTGTAACTCCGTTTGAGTTTGCACTGCCTCTCTAAAGTGTCTCTTCCTGTTCTCCACAATGCACCGTGGCGAAGCGGTGCTCAGATCAGTACCGAGCGCAGCCTGGTGCCTCCTTCGAGGAAAGCCTTTTTTTTTTTTTTTAATTTCCACCCCCCTCCTCTCTGTCTACTCTGTGCCAGTATCCACTGACTCCCAACATCACGCCAGTTCTCTTTACATTGTTACTTCTGCGGCTCATAAATAAAGCATCTCGCAAATGTCTTGTTCGGGTTTGAAACTTCGATCGCGAAGCGTATTTGCGCGTATGACGGGACCTGAACACAGTACCAGAGAGGAGGGTGTAAGTCGGGACTTAGCAAGCCGCAGAGTCTCAGAGACTCGGCGGGGTTAAACAGAGTTTAAAGAGGATGGGCAGACAGTGGCTCCACTCTGACCTTTCGGGTGGCAGTGTTACAGTTTTATTCTTAGCTCTCCATTCCAGGGTGTCTGACTGTTTGGCGGAAGCTGTCAGTTACCATGGGCCCAACGATTGGACTGCAGCCGCTTCACCTGCTGCTCTGCTCCTGTCCTCTGCTGTTTTTTTCTTTTCTTTTTTTTTTCCACCCACTGAAGTCACTGTTGCCACCGATCAGAGGTCAGGATTTGACTTACAGATCAGGAGATACACTCCCTCTCCTGCCCATACGATGTGTCTCTGCTTTGTGCAGTTATAGATTTCAGCACCTTCTAGAAGGCTCAGGCTTGTATGAGATTTATGCGGTATGAGACCCTTCACTAGAAACACCACGATATCGCGATACTCTATAAAGATTTAGGACGAAAACGTACGCCGTGATCTAAATGAGTTAAAACAGAAAATAAGTACTGGGGATGCACCGATTGCAGGTTTTGAAACACCAATATTTAAAAACCATGACCTGCCGATTCCAATTTTGGCCGATGATTCTTTTTTTGACTGAAAAGTTACTAAGCATAGTGACAAAGTTGATAAATTGGCAACAATGGGTCAGCACTCTACTATGGCAGAGCAAAAGGGAACTGTGGATGATTTTCAGACATTTGTGGATCTAGATAAAATTGGTGGATAATGTTGGTTTCTCATATATCAATCATTCAATCACACAAAGCGAAGATAATTTCCTCCAATTTATTGATGCAGTCCTTATAAACACTTTCACTCTGGCTATAGTGTATTTTTACCGTTCTAATTTCCATAACATAAACATCGTCTACGTTCAAGTTACACTAAAGGGCAGAATATTATTCCTTTTTTGTTTTGCTCTCTATAAAGTAATCTGTCTACTGTGGTAACTCAGTAGCTTTTAAACAGCGTTACTTAAATTAAAATGTGTTTTTCCACACAATTATGGAGGTTTCTTCCTGGTACAGGTTTATTTTTCCTCTTCACTGTCGCTACATGCATTCTCAGTCAACGATATAATGCCAGAGACTGTCTGCTGTTGCTAAGTTCTCGCTTCCATGGCAAAACGCTAATGTCAAACAAACCGAATTTTACAATTGCAGTGTTTCCATTAAATAAAAACACAAAGTTGCATGTGAATAAGGTGAAAATTGGCATGTTTCCACTGAGTAAATTTATTTTGTCAAACTGTCCAATTATATAGTAAATGGAAACACAGCTACAGACTCAATGCAGTCTGCTGGGTTTCCTTAAAAACTTTTTAACCTGCTTTGAATAATTAGCTGAACTTATTGCACTGTTTGATAACTAGTATTAATTGGAATGTATCTGTGATTGAATTGAAATTTGTTATTTTTTTTGTAAAGTACCTCAAGACATTTGTTGTAAATCAGTGCCATAGAAATAAACTGAACTGATTTGACTGTTTATTTTGGCAAGCCATTTTCAATTCGCCAAACTTCTGTGTTTTGGAGGGAAAACCGTGGAAGTCTCCTATCCAGCAGTGTGCAGCTTTGGGGTTTAGGGAGACAGACCTGCTCTACTCTGTGTTTTCTCAAAGACATGATGTGAAATGTTAGCGGGTTTTGAAGCCAAACTTCCTCTTAAACCTCTGTAGAACTCGTTGCAAATAAGCGTCAGGTCTGTTTTATTTCATTGAATCTCCTAATAGTTCAGGTTTGTGGAGACATACAGGGGATCAAGCCTGACATCATGTTGCCTTGGGGCCCCCCCCCCCTGCTTCGTATTTGTCTGTACTGATAAAGCCGCACGGTTCCAGCATTAGTCATGTTTGGAGCGCGGTCCGCCTCATGCGGCTTTCATTACTTGGGGTGGGGGGGATGCGAGGATGAAAAGTTGTTTCTGAGAGCCTCCGTGTTTGCTCTCGGCGCTGGAGACAGACGGGCTGCGTAGGTTGCCCGGGCCAGGTCCGAAAGCCGACCGTGCGCGCTGTCTCTCCACACGCTCATTTACCCGTCGGGGTGTCTTTGTGCGTGGTGCCGACATTACAAATGACCAAGAGAATCTCTTTTTAAAAGAGACAAACAAAGGGAGGGGACTTGGAAGCGGACAGCGAGACCGATAGACTTAGCGCCTTCTCGCGTCACGCTAATCCATCAAACACGTCTTATCGCCGTTGCCCAATATCCTGAGCTTCAAATGGAGATACCATTATCAGGTCTGTGGTTACATAATGAAAAGAAGATTTGAGGCTTTTTTTTTTCCCCACACGAAGCGCCTCGTATTCCCTGGTTAAAACTAGAGAAGAAAACAGAAATCAGCTCTGCGGAAGGTGCTTTGTTTGTTTTTTGTCCCCCATGACAGTACTGTGAAGAGCAGTGCTCCACATGTCCTCTACGTAGCTCTACATAGAGACACGTGGAGGCCTCGGTCAGCCTCTGTTGGCTCTTTCTCAGAGTCCTCAGTTTCTTTCAGTTGCATGTGTGTGAGTGTGTAAAAAAAAGACATGTATGGAGCTGAGATTCCGTGTGAATTGGTAAGAGGACTGGATCGCTCCTCAGTCGGTTCCACTGACCGTTCGTCCAAAACTTTCCATCGCTCTCTGGATCCATGGGCTGATCTCGGGCTTGGGACCCAGCCAGCCTGCTTCTTATTCACTGTAATTATCCAGTTTAGTGAATAACGTTGAGGGAGAAAAAAAAAACATCCACAAGACTAAAGCGAATGATTGAATTAGGTTAAATTTTCAAACAAAAGTCTTGGTTTCGGAAATTGAAAAATTCTTTGTAGCAGAAAGTGTTTGACGGAGGCAGATTTATTTCCTAATT